ACTAACAGTGATTGCCCATGCTAGAGCTGAAGAAAGGGATACCACACTCGGGAACAGAAGCCAGATGTTCTGACCGCTGGTCCCCTACTCCATCTACCCCACACCATTGCTTTTGCATAACGTGATTATAGCAAGATAGAAATAATAGATGCAGTTCTACTATAGGAATTGTTTTTCTACGCAGTTTAGTTCTTCTTTACTTAGAATAATTACTTCCCTGACGTAGTTCCCATCCTGTTCAGAAGGCAAGCAATGGCCATGGCTAAAAGCCAACTATGGCCAAGCGTACTGTGTCTATAATTTTGGAAATTCATTTTCAGAACAAAGACTTACACTTCTGATAGTAAAATACAATCAGGACACTGAGTTGTGATATGAAGTAGTATAATATATTGCTGGCATGTATTAAAAAGCTGTATTATTCTACATAGATATAGTCAGAGTAGTTCTTACAGTGAAAAAAATCAGGAAGAGGCTGGATAAGTCCTATCTTCCTCAGAGTTAAAGAGACCAGTTCTATGGTGTGACACTTCTTGCAATATTTACTGGAAGAAGGAAAAAAACCCAAACAACTAAAGAATAGGAAATCTTATATTAAAAATGAGCAAACCTACCTTTTGATCTTAAGGGCTGCATTTAGGCTATGGTAAAGCAGTGTGGAGTAAAGCAATTTCATTTCTATGTAATTTATATTATGATATTGATAGGATTACCAGTAGCAGAGTATCCCAGTAATTCACAACACAGAGGTCCTATTATCAACATCATAATTCTATAGATGAAGAAATGAAAGTCCAGATCTCAAAGCTATTAAAGGATACAGATAAGGTGTCTTGACAAAGTGACTCGCAGTATAGTCTGTTAGGAAATCAAATTCAGGTTTCTCAGTCCCTCAGCAGCACTCACATAACTAGCTCAAGGTGTGCTTTCAGTGGGATGGTTTTGCTTTTGTTACAATATAAAATAATTTTAACCAAGACCATATAGTGTTACTGAGTCCTATCCTGTGTGAATTCAAGAACTGTTCACTCTCACCTATACTTTAAGGAAAGTAACATGTATTCTTTTAAATAATCTTTGAATCTTTGAAAGTGATCTTGTGTGTGTGTGTATGTGTGTGTGTGTGTGCTTGCTAACAACTCAGAACTAATTTATTTTCCCAGGCATATCTCTGCTTTTAGCAACCATTTCTCCTGGTCTCCAGTTATCATCACATGGTAATTCAAAACCAGCCTATTGGCATCAGAATTATTTGATCTTCAGGGTGAGAGGACAATGAAGGTTGTGGACACTTCCACAGAGCATGTGAATGACACAACAGAAGGTCTGGAGCTGACAAAGAGGCTCCTCACTCAGACAGACGTTCAGTGTTCTGAGGTATTTAATTTGTTTCCTGTCTTTTTCTGGGGGTAAAAAAAACGTTGGGACATTAGTCAACAGAAAATGAAGACAGAGCCATAGAGTAGTTTTGGGAAGCAAAAATTTAAACAATCTCAAATGCTGTCTACAATCAAACTTTTACTCCTGATTAGACATCTAAAATGACTGTGGGGTGGATAGGCAGCAGCTGCTGGTTTTATTCTATGGCATTAACAAATGTGGCAAAGTTCTGGAAGCAGGACCTTTGGCAAAGGTCCTACTTCCTGATTGACCTGAGTCAATCAGACATACACAAGTCCATAGGACAAAATGTCATTATTAAGATAGGGCTGAGAGAGGTAGTGAATGTCACTGCAAGTGCATTCCCTGTCATCCTTGAGAGGTCATGGTAATTAGAGATGATTTGGGATCATTGGAAAAAGGCAAACTTCACAAATGCCTTCTTAAAGAAAGTCAAGAAGCACTTGTGTGATTGCACTTAGGTGATCTGCTCCATAACCCTGTCAGGCACTGAGGTCAGGCTGATGGGACTGTAGTTTCCTGGGTCCTCCTTGCAGCCCTTTTTGTGGATGGGCATGACATTTGCCAGCTTCCAATCATCTGGGATCTCCTCAGTGAGCCAGGACTGTTGGTAAATGATGGAGAGTGGCTTGGCAAGCTCTTCTGCCAGCTCCATCCCCTAGGATGGATCCCATCTGGTCCCATAGACTTGTGAGGATTCAAGTGGCTCAGCAAGTCGCTAATTGTCTCCTCCTGGATTACAAGGGGGCTATACAGCTTCCTGTCTCTGTCTACTAGTTCCGGAAGCCAGTTGTCCTGAGGACAACCTGTCTTACTGTTGAAAACTGAGGCAAAGAAGATGTTAAGTACCTCAGCCTTTTCCTCATCTTTGGTGACTATGTTCCCCCCCATGTCCAACAAAGAATGGAGGTTTTCCTTGCCCCTCCTTTTGTTACTGATGTATTTGTAGAAGCAATTCTTGTTATCCCTAACAGAAGTGCTAAGACTGAGTTCAAATTGTGCCTTTGTCTCTCTAATTTTCTTTCTACATGACCTAACTATTTTCCTAAACTCTTCGTGAGCATCCAGCCCTTTTTTCCATAGTCAGCTCTCTTTTCTTCCCCTAATTTCCTTCAAAATCTCCCTGTTCAGTCAGGCTGGCCATCTTCCCCATTGGTTCACCTTTTGGCACACTGGGACAGCCTGCTCCTGTGCATTCAAGACTTGCTTCTTGAAGCATGTCCATCCCTCCTGGACCCCTTTGTTTTCAAGGGCTGTTTCCCAAGGTACCCTTTGAACGAGTGTTCTGAGTAGGCCAAAATCTGCCCTGCAGAAGTCTAGGGTAGAAGTTTTATTGATGGCCCTCCTTGCGGCCCTGAGTATTGAAAATTCTATTATTTCATGGTCACTGTGCCCCCGATGGCCTCTGACTACCACATCTCCCACCAGCCCCTCTCTGTTTGTGAACAGCAGGTCTAGCAGGGCTAGACCCCTGGTAGGATCATTTACCAGCTGAAGCAGGAAATTATCCTCTATACACTCTAGAATCTCCTAGACTGCCTCTTCTCTGCTGTGTTGTGTTCCCAGCAGACATCCGGCTGGTTAAAGTCACCCACGAGAACAAGAGCTGGTGATTTTGAGACACCTGCCAGCTGCTTGTAGAATAATTCATCACCCTCATCATCCTGATTGGGTGGTCTGTAATAGACTCCCACCAAGTTGTCAGCCTTGTTGGCCTTCCCCTTCATTCTGATCCACAGGCACTCAACCTTATCGTTGAGTCCCAGAGGAGCTGTCTCCAAAGGTATTACATTTGGAGATACTCAGAACTTGACTGGATACAGCTCTGACCAACCTGTTGTAGCTTGGTGCTGCTTTGAGCAATAAGTTGGAATAGATGACCTGGTGAGGCCACTTTCAACCCAAATTATTCCATGATTTTGCAATTCCAGGTGAGCCCAGTGACTTGCATTTATCTGTATTTTGAGAAGATAGCAAGTCCTAACCTGAAAATTTAAGGCAGAAAATCCATTTCTACTATTACTGCTGTAATAGTGTTTCAGCCACAGTGATAGAAATGACCTCTTCCTCCCCTCTCAAATTGCCTTCTCAGTTATGATATGTGAAAGAAGCAATGACTGCACAGAAATCAGAGACAACCAAGTTTTACTTTATTTATATAAAACCTCAGCCAAAAAGCAGATGATCATTTCAGTGTGCTTTATTAGGCATCCTGTCTATGCTCTCATCAATTTGTATCACTTGTCATTATCTCCTGGGAGGGTCCTCTAGACACATCCAACTTTTTATGAAGTGCTGGCACAGTCCCTAATGTAGCCTCAAATGGGCCATCATAGAAACACAAATGCAAAGATATCCTAAAAAAACACAGTACACACAAAGAACTTTTACTCTCCCAAGTAATTTTGGACAGACAACCAGGACACTCCCTCACCCTCTATTTTCAGCTGGGAAGAAGCCCTTAAAATGACAACTGTAAGGGCAGAAGGGACAAAATATATCATTCCCAGCAAGCTGCTTGGGTGTGGGAGGTATCCTCAATTTCCCTGTGGAGAGTGGGAGAATGAGGAGGGCAGGAAGCCTTGGGGTGAACACAGCTGGCTGTCACTCCCTCACTCTTGCACCAGGATCCATGTTCAAGTGAAACTTTTGCAGCCAGTTGCTGTTTTCATACCAGGACCACAGCATGCAAACGTGTTGGTCCTTGCTTTTAGATTGCTCAGACCACACAGAAAAAAGGCAGCTGTTCTCCTAAATGAAGTGTTGCGGGGTTGCATCTCTGCTGTTCATCAGATCTTTTTGACCTTTCTTCCTTTGTCCTCATCCTCCACCCAGCAATTCAGGGCAGAGGAGTGTTGTTGATAGGCACAGTGCTGTTTCAGAAACAGTGTGATGCATCATAGGGAGGATGTCCCCACTGGGACATCAAGCTCAAGGCTGGTCAAAAGTTAGACAAGGCTTCATTTGGCTTTTCTGAGGAACAAGGGAAACAAGGACCACAGCTGGTAGGTCTGCTTCTGCCACAGAAAGGGGAAGGCAGGGGGTGGTTGCTCCATCATGCTCCATGGGGCATGAAGGGCCATGGGAAGAGAGACTGCCTCTACTTGCAGGTGCAAACACAGCCCTCATTGCTGCAGCCTTGGCCTTGGCTTTGGCTGTGTTGGACCACGTGGCTCTGCAGCCTTGGCAAATTGGTGATGGGCCATTTTTCAGGTCTGGCCATTAACTCCCCTCAGCAGCTGCCTTGTTTACCTGTGCCCTACAACAACTGTGGAAGAAAATGCCTGGGACCAAGGCAAGCATCCAAACCCAAGCTGACACAGCTCATTTAGGCTTGGCAGAGAGCAGCCCTTCTGGATTTAAAGACATTGAAAGAATGGGACTGACAAAAGGACTCTTTGCTGCCTGTATTTCTCTAGAAAAGACTTGTTTGTTGCGCCACCAGTCTTGGGGCAAGGGCCTTTGAAGGAAGAGGGCAGAACTACAAGAATTTGACTGTGATCTTGAGAGGAAAGGGAAAGCAGGCTACATTCTGTTTGTTTGGGTTTGATTGTTTTTTTTTCTTAAAACACAAATGACAGAGAAAACAGCATACAGCAGGGATGTGCAGCCATGAACTCCAATACGTGCTCATGGGGTGTCCATCCAGCTTGTGACTGCTGGATTCAGCCTGGTCCAGTCTACTTTGAGCTTGCTGAAACAGAGAGCAAAGACAATTAAAACATTGCAACTGATCTTCATGCAAGGTTCTCACAGATAACATGGGGATACTGACTTCAGTGGGATTTAGGTACCCTATATACCTTTGGGAAACTGGACTTGAGGGTCTCCTCAATTGCTGTAGCTCTGAGTCTTGTCTCCAAGCATGGTGTCTGACTTTAAGCTATTGATTACTGGGGGGTCCATGTGTGTGTGTAATATATTAAGTCATCTGACAACAAAAACTAAGCATTCCTCAGGCTGTCAACCCACAAAACTATCTTCTTTAAATGTATGCAAACTGAAACCATTTTGTTTTAGTTTGGACTGGCAAATCCTCCTTCATCTTCCTTGAAGCCCTTTGTTTCAAAATGCACCAGTGGAGAGCTAGGATGCAGGAGCAAGTCTTCTCTCAAAAACGGCAAAACATCATGTCCAACTGACTCTTCCAAAACCCACAGGGAAATAAAGACAGAAATTGCAGTTCTGGGATGGGAAAGGTGGAGGAGGGAAGTGGCTCTGCCAGGCAAAGCAGAGTGGCCACATAGAAACTGGTAAATGTGGGAGACTCCCATTTTCTGAAGCTGCACTCATAAATCATGACCAGGGTGAGATGGTGGAGCACAGTTGAAGTCACTCCCATCACCTCAGTCTCCTCTGGAAAGGAGATGTGGCATCCTGCAGATGTGTCCCTAGTCCGCATGACATGAGGGCTGGAGCACTGGCACATCTTCCTATGTAGCCCCAGGTAGCTCTACAACAGCCACAGAAGCGCTCAAATAAGAACTGGGAGGACTACTGGGATGATGTGTGGTCAAAAAATGAAGGAACTGAACTAATGGAAAGTGCAGATCCAATTTCTGTTTGACAGGATTTGAAATGTTTCCTTTTTTACCAGTTTATTTTTATATCCTTCTTAAGACTTATTAAATTGGCTTTAAAACATAACTGCTAATCACTAAATATCCAGATTTCCAAGTTAAAAAAAAAGCCATAATTTTCATAAAGTGAAAATAGACATGATTTAGATATCGACATGTATAAAGCCATTTGCTAGAAACATTGTTCATAGCATGGCAAACAGCAAAGACTGGATTAATTTAAAGCTGAAAAATTTTGCTGCTAAGTTTTGTCTCAAAAAAAAAAAAGACATCATTTCTGGGAATATTTTAATATTGAATCATTTGAGCATCTGGAAGCACAAATGTAATTTCAAGACCAAAAGAAAGACAGGAGGGGGGAAACCCAAACAAAACAAACATTTCCTACCAAATCCAAATACTGTAAACGGTGAAAAACTCATAGTCGTGTTTGGATGCAATTCCAAACAGTGGGTTAGCAGTGCTTTGAGTTACCAACCCACCCTTCACAGAGACGTGTGATGCAAACGCTCGTGTTTCATAGACCTATGTGCAGAGCCCCTCGACTTTTGGGGCTGAGTTTATAGGGAAATGCTCTTTTTTGTGTAAGTTCTTTTTGTGTATGTGCCAAGCCGAGGTATGTGGGCACCTGCCTCCCGCTTAAAGCAGGCCTGCGACTGATCCCGTAGGGTCGCGGTTTGGATGCCGGGCGGTCGCGGTGCCGTCCCCGGGCGGTCGCGCCCCGCGTGTCCGTGCGGACGGTGCCGCTCCGTGGTGCCGTGCCGGCACTGCAGGCTCGGCCGGGTGCAGCCGGCCCCGGCAGCCTCCCCGGCTCCGAACAAAGGGAGAGGGAAAGGCTGGGGGGTGCAATGACAGGAGTTATCTCCGGGTGGGGATTCCAGCACTGCCGGGCTCCAAGGATGTATCTGAGCACAGTCACTCAAGGTGACAAGGGTTGGCCAGCCTGGAGTTGGTTTCATTTCTTAAAACACGGGCTCAGCATGATGGGGCTCAAGCTTGGCCTGTAGCATCCAAATCTCCAGGCCTGAAAGGGTTCGCCATGGAAGCCATGAGCCAACAAAAAAATACCCTTTGGAGCAGCGAGGACCCCATATTCCAAAGGATCCCAGTCAGCTAAGAACCAGGTGAAATTAAATGAAAATTCCTCTTCTTTCCTTTATCTGTCCAGATCATATAAGGATTCAGGATGAGGATGTTTATAAGAAGCCTTGTTTTGTAAATGGGGGACTTCACAGACCCTTGTGTTGTGCTGCAGCTGCTATTTATAGTAGGAGTTATGTCAGTGAGAGACCAAGAGGAGCCAGGGACAGCAGGATGTAGTTCAAGGCCCTGTTTCCAGCTTGCCGAGAGGTCTGGGGCAGACAAGTCCTCCTCTCCACACCCTCGTGTCCCTTACCTGTCCCCATTCTGCCTGTTCCTGTCTCTCTGCTGTTCCTGACATGCCAAAGTAGTGTCTAGAACAGAGGGACATCCATCTAGATGCTGCCATCATGCAGATGACAATAGGAATAACGCTAACAGATGGTAGGTCTTAAGAGAAGCCACTGCCACCAATGCAGGCTGGCAGACAAACATTCCTGCTCTGGCAGCTGGAACAACAGTAGCGCAAATGAAACATGAACAATTTCCTCCCTGCCAGCAAAGAAAATAGCTCCAGGGAGAACCAAGGGAGAATAATTGTCAGTCTCCTCTAGGTATCATGGGAACAGAGGCCATTCAGTAATCCCGGAGTAAACAACTGCTTCTTATTTTTAATACAGAATAAACCCCCAAGAATCTAAGAGCGGGTACTGCACAATCGCTGAATTAGCTGCTCCAGTGCCCACCTCCTCCTAACCTTTCACTGAAGACCGTTGAAGTGAGACATGCAAGAGTTTTATTCTAACCAAAATGGGCTCACAACAGAGGGTGAATCCTCTGTCACAGAATTATGCAAATATGACAAATACTTAACACTTTTCCTCCTCCTGTCTTTGAAGAAGATGCTGATCATTAGAGCACTGAAATTCCTCCCAGTTTCAGCCCCTCTCTTGGGACTCAGACAAATCTCTGTCTTCAGATGCTTTTTTTTCTTTTAGTCATGGCTAAAATACACTGAAGCCTTATAGCATGTACAGCTAGGCCTGATAAGTGTGGCCCCACAAACTTCCAGTAACAGCAGGCAGGGCTGATGCTGGTATTCACAATGAACATGGGTTATCTGATATCCAAGGAGCTACAACAATGTAGAATCCCTGTAAGCCTCAATAAAGTCAAAATCCTGTAAATACTTGCCAGTAATTCATAATAATATACCCATCACTGGTGTTATTTGGTTCAATGGGACTACTTATTGCAGAAGGAACTGTGTCAGACTGTCCGAATGGCTGCACTCAGGCTTTCCAACAGCAGCTAATTATAGATAAAGGGAGTAATAAAAGAGTAGGGTAAACATACCTCCCTGATATATTTTCCTGGTTTCCAGTAACTTCCTATGCCACTGGCACCAGTACCTGGCTTTTTGGCTCCTAATGTGGGGAATGTTCTTTTACCTCCTGAGAAATTCAGCAGACACATCTGTCTTCATCACAGCAGGTACCAGGATTCCCTCCAAGCAGGGGTCTCAACTATGATCATTTTATGCCATAGCCTCTAGTTCACTTATATTTGCAGCTTAGCCTGTTTAAGAGGTTTCTCTGAATTAAAGGGCTTGTATATGGATGATGCAGTAAATATATGACTGCTAGCTTTTCCCATCTGCAGGAACCCACTGAGTAAACTGCCTCTGGCTCTGGTATAAGAAAACTGGTAAATACAAAACTGCCATGAACACACACTGTAATGAGCACAGCTGCTGTTAAAAAAAAAAAAACAACAACAAACAAACAAAGGCAAGATATTTCTATAGCCAGGGCTTGTAGAGATATTGCTTTTCATACCCCACAGCCTGGCACAGACACAGGCCAAGAGGCCTGCTCAGTCCTTATCACACTTTTTCTTCTGCTTTCTTTTCCTTGGTCCTCACTCCCCCTTGCCTCCACCAGTAAAACCCTGCTCTCAATTCCTCAGACATGGATGCAGTAGAATAACATGGATAGGAAGCATGTTTTTCTCTGCTAGATTTCTTGCAACCAGGAGTCCTATTCCAAAATTAATTGTCCAGCCAATATCTCTCATCCAACCTCAGCCATGGAAAAAGTCACAGAGACAGACATGAATCAGAGGTGATGCCTCTAAATCTCCTTTTTTCCCCTCAATTGGATTCAGAGGGGAGCAAAAAAGCCCAGCACACTTCTGTAATGGCAAATAATAACTAGAAAGCCTCTGCCATTCCTCAGACCTAAATAATTTTACCAGGACAGTTGGTTGAGCACCACTGCAGCTCCATAACCCTTCATTTCTGTGCATGAGGCCTCAAAACTGTTAAGCTCTTAGAGTGGTGGGGAACAGGGAGGGGGTCTGGTTTGTGATGTAAGCAGCAGCCAGGCTGTCCAGGACTTTGGCACATCTCCTCCCTGTGATGGGGAGGATTTGGTTTCCATAGCAGCAATGGCGTGATTTCCCCCCTTCTTCCTCCCCAGAACTTGTATTCCACAAACGCACAGGAGTTATATTTCACCCCAAGGCTTTCATTTTCCTGCTGCACAGTTTCGCCGTGCTCCAGCAGGTCTGCCTTTTGCTGACACTGGTTTGGAGAGCGAGGAGGGGCCCTGGGGATGCCGTGCAAGCATTGCTCTCGCCTCCCTCTCTCCCTAACACCGCTCCACAACAGACACAGTGTTCCCTGTCCCCAACTGACTCATCTTCACCGAGGTCCCCCTTTTCCTCGCTTGTCTCCAGTGATCAGCTCATGCATGACTGGCTTTCCATAACAGAGCAGAGCTGTGTGCAAGTGCCAGGCGCCCGCACAAAGCTGGAGCACTGCCTGCAGAGGAAATGTCAATACAGGAACACCAGGCTATTTACAAAACCTCTCTTTATCCTGTGACGGAGATGCATGTAGCTGTAAAACAGTGGTACCTGCATATACTCCCCTTTTGATTTTACCCACATGAAGGATATGGAGACTCTTGTTTCTCTTGATGAAGAGGACTTTTTTTTTGCCAGTACAAAAGAGAAGAAAATATGCTCAGAAAAAGGACAGCATAACTGCAAATCACACCAACTATTCTGGGGACTCGTAGGAGGATGTGAAAAGCAAAGCCAATTCATTTTTTGCAGCTGATCTGCCTTCAAAACAAGTGCTCCTTTAGTTGTACACATTTGGCATTTGTCTGCTTCAGAACCAAGGAACCAAGCTGTGTTCTTATTAATACCATAAAATGTTTTCTTCTTCAGTGTGGAGCCCACACAGAGAAGAGGAAAAATTCTCCCTGATTTTAGCAGGTTTCCCAAGATATGGGTGCACAGTATGTTGTGCGCATGCGCTGATGTTACCCATGCTCTGGGTAACCCCAACCCATGTATCCAAGGCAGATGCACTCCAAGGAGTCCTGCTGGCAGCTGGGATGGGGAAGCTGAGGCTTAGTGCCAGCAGCAGTCCCCAGCTTGTAGATCACAGCTGGCGCTGTCCTACCAACAGAGGCTGTCAGGCTGAGGTAAGTCATAGGCTTTTTGGTGCAGGCTAACCATACAGGGAGAAGAGGATACAGAGCTCATCACAGCTTGGTGCCTTGGCCTCTCACGGAGGTCTCAGCCCATCCACCAGTGGGAAGTGCACAGCTTGGCATCCACCCACACTCAAATACTAGTCAACACTATTCCCACTGCTCCTACCAAATTGTTCCCACACTTCAAGCAAGTTTATGTCTCTTCCTTTAGGTGAAAGAGAGTTCACTTATTGGCATAAAGATGCTTTTTCATCACTTAGGTGTTATTTATCGTCACTAATGTTTCTAAGTACCTTCAAAGAAGTGGTTTGTCATTACTTTTAGTAATACCATTGGATTTAGGTGGTGGAAGAGCCCCAAAGACTGTACTCATGAATCAAGACCTCCTTGTGGCAAGCAGCACTGAGATAAATTTGACCACAAAAATCCCATTAATTTCCATATGTCACTGAATTCTTCAGTCATCTTGGAAGAGCCTTTTTCTGGAGCGCAACATCTGTTCTGCCTCAGAAAGATGGTAGTAAACATCACATCTTAATTAAACTCTGCGTACAGTTGTGGAGACATACCAGTATCTCCTAGAAAAAAAGAATCTTAATGTCTTTGCTCCCATATGCTGACAAAAAATGCCTGTTACTGTCCTTGTTTTAGCAAATGCCAAATCTCTATTTGTCAGAGTCAAAATGGAGTTCAGACGAAAGGGAAGAGAACTATTTGTTAGGTGCTTACACTCTACCCTTCCTTCCACTACACTTGAATATATCTCTAAATGTAATAGAGATAATAGGCACTATATCTATTATAATAGGCATTATATCTATTATAATAGATATAATAGGCACAAAGCAGGGTGATCCTTCTACATTAGCTACTACTTTATCAGTCAGGTTCACAAATTGACTGTGATGCAAATATTTCTTATTCTCAGTTTCCCTTTCTTGTATATCTGCAATGGAACTAAAATAGTGATCATCTAATTTGAATATGAATAAAAGAGCTTCAAAAACCCGTTTTCTGCATTCAACCCTCATTTGGGCTCTCTGAGTTTCCAAAAAAGTAGAATTTCATGAGAACTCTGTTCTAAAACTTCTTTTCTTCGAATGAGACAAAAACCAAACTGGAAATTCCCCAGAAGATGCACCAGCTCACTCAAATTATTAAAACATCAGTTTTAGTTGAATTCATTCAATAAAAGGACCTTTGCAGAGCCCTTCAGGATCTATTATGATATAGAAATAGAAACATTCAGAATATATAAGTGAGAATATGGGTTTCACCAAGTGTCTGCTGAAGGCTTCCACAGTTCCCACATTTCATCAAGTTCCTTTGAAGTCAAGCAGCCTGTGAGTTCTGGATCCCCATGGCCAAAATCTCTTCATAGGAGGTAAAATAGGTGCTGGTTTTCTTATCTAAATGCAGTTGTCTGCCATGTAGGTGCCCACACCTGAGCTAGGTATACCTTTTGTAGCTAGTGGTGCAACCTGTCAGAATTAAGCAGAGGATGAAAATGAGCAGCACCCAGCTTTTCTCTCCTGGCTCTAAAGGACATCTTGGTTGATTAAATCAAGTGGAAATGTCAGTATTTTGTCTGTCTGAAGACAAAGAGTCACAGAATGATATAGGCTAGTCTGGAGCTCCACAGCCCTACTCAGAGTATAGCTAACTTCAAAGTTACATCAGGTTGCTGAAGTCCTTGTCCAGCTGAGTTTTTAAATTTCCACAGCCGGAGGTATCATTGCCTTGCTGAGTAACACCCTCACCGGGAAGGAAAAAAAACAACTTCCACTCAATAAGAATTTACCTTGACATAACTGCTAACTGCTGCCCCTTGTTCCTTCACTGTGCAGCATAAGATCCTTTCACTCAGGGTTAGTCTGGCTCTGACTTTCTCTAAAATCCTCCATTAAGGAGGGCTATAAAAGGTGGGAGCAAGTTCCCTGCTCATGGGGCAACAATAAGCTGTATATTTTTTCACAACTTAGAAACCCCAAAAATTATTTGGATTAAGTAGTGCATGCTCAAATGCTGGGAAAAGCTTTTTTGTCCATCAGAATTTATATCCAGCACTAGCGTTGAAGCAGGAGGATTTATGCTAGGCCACTACTTTATGTTCTATTTTGGGTTCATCCTTCCTTTGGTAGCTGAGCTGGATTTACACCTCCTGGTATAATCTGATGTTGGTACAAACGTGTTTTGCTCTTGGAGGCACAGCACAAAGGCTGTTCAACATTCCAGGCTATAACTCTTTCCCTGTAAGTCTTTCAGTCTGTATAAAGCACAGCATAGCTGAGTACAAAGCGGATAGAAAGAGCACATAGGTCACAACTACATTACTGTATGACTGTGTAATGAATCCTATGAGTGTACTTTGATTTTAAGTTGCAGTTTGTTTTGATTAGTTGCATTTCTTTCTTCTTCTAGCAGTGACCTGCTTGTTGTTTCAAAGAAAATTAATAAACAAATAAAAACAATCCAAAACTCATCCTAATCTATTCCTGTTTCTGTTAGGGAACTTAGTATGATAGTACAGTAAGTCATCTCTACAAGTTAAATATAAAAAGCTGATATTCAATCAATTTTTGTTCTGTTATGGGTGGTGTTGACATAAATGTTAGCCATAATGAAGAGCTTATTCTGGAGCTGTTATGCCTTTGCTGAAAGCAGATGAATGATGGCATAGCCTCACGTTCAGGAAAGTCTAGAATTGCAAAAATGAAGCAGATAGAATTAATAAAAAAATCAGAAGATTAGTGATTTGTGTCCTTGTGAAAGCCTAGGCAGATAATTTTGTAGGGTTTTATTTTAAAAAGAAAATAGGAGCTGCATAAATATGTAAATGAGCCATCCAAGGATGAGCAAGCAGGAGAAATATTATTGCTATTTGGCTGGCTGGTCGGATATATATATATATATTAACAGAAACATGCTTGGAGTCATACATGGTTCTTGTGTGCATTTTTAAACACAGATGCATAGCTGAAATTGTGTGCCTATGCATTCAAATAAATGATAAAACTATGGATGGAAGCATATGCATTCAAATGAAATGACACCTTTATTCAAAGAGCAGAGAAATCTGTATGTGCCATGACTCCCTTTAAATTCCAAGAATCTTTCTTTCTGGACTTACCTGCATGTTCTCAAGCACAAAACAATCTCTTCTGGAGACCTTCAACTTCATGGCTATGTTTCACATTTTCTGCCCATAATTCTGTGCTCCCACTCAAAATATTTTCCGTGTGAGACTCTCATATACTGATCATACCACTGTATTCTTCCACAAAAGTACTAATACTTGTTTTCATTCAGGATTAATTTCTTTGTTAATTAGTATTGAGTAGAGTTTGGCCTCTTGAAGATGTCCCCATACAGACTGAGGAAACTATAAGTTTTCCAGGTCCAGCTTACAGAGAACTCTTCAAAATCCAGGTCTAGTTTCCAATGTAGTGGCTTGAGTAGACCATCATCATCACCATTGGAAACTAATATCATCTCAGTTTACAAAAGATACGATGAAAAAGATTAGAAGTTAATACTAAATAATGGAGAAAGAAGGCTGCAATACACATCATTAAACAAAGAAATAACAAGAGAAAGTCCATGGTAGATTTCTTTGTGATCATTTGCTGGAAAAAAATGAGCACTTGGAAAATGTTAAGGAAATGTAACACAGTGATGTGCTAGAGTTTCTGGTAAGAAAAGAATAGAACCTCTGGCACTGTTCAACTGAATAAAATATTGTAATTGTTACTGTCAGTTCCACAGGCCAAAATATGACAACAGGCATGTATAGAGACATCAAAGGACTAATTGGTCTAAT